TCTGCATGAATTTAAATGAAATTAGAAGTATGACCATCTGGAAACTTAGTTGATGAACAGGCATGCTGAACTGTTAACTCATTCCTACCTGAAGGCTGATAGAAGTGCAGAAGATTTTTAAAAAGGAGGATGGATGTAAAGAAAAGTGGCATCTTGGTGCCAATTATCAGCGCAGGAAATTTTTATTTTTAATCTGCAGCCGTGGTCATGTTTCTCAGCGGTTTCTAGAGGGGATTGTGATTCCTTAATACTGTCTCACTGCCGGGTGAATGTTAACCCCACTGAACAAAAAGCAGTGCAACGTTCACCCATCTGCAATAGATGCAGTGTTTGAGTAATGATGATTTTAAAATTTTCAGCAGGAGCTGTTTATCTGCAAAATTAGCCTTGGGGGTTTCTTGCTGTGTATATACAGAAGGAGGACTGTAGTGCATTAAAATCCAATTTAGTAGAAACTGTGAAAAATGGCTCACATTTATCGTAGCAAGGGAACAAGCAAAGTATTTATAGTATAACTTTTAGATTTTGCAAGAGCTTCATAGATGTTTTTCATGGGATTAGATGAGCTGGCATGGATGGATTTATCCTTGGATTAAAATGTGAGCTTAGGACATATAAACAGATATAATTGTTCGTATATAAATGACCGTAGTCGTCACACAAGACCAGCATGCAGTGCTCAGTTTGCTCTCTGTTGCAGGGATCATGTTCAACACTGGCATCGGCCAGCACATCCTGAAGAATCCTCTGGTTGTCAATGGGATTATTGAAAAGGTGGGAAGTACTTGCTGATGCTGCTGCAGACAAAAATTGTAACAAATATTCACAAAATGTAAAATATGTGTTTTTAAAAAAAAAAAGAAGTGGGCAATCGTGCAGAGGCTGCTGATCTAACTGAGCTGTGACGCGTCTCTTTTTCAGGCTGCTTTGAGGCCGACAGACGTGGTGCTTGAGGTGGGACCTGGTACTGGTAACATGACGGTTAAGCTGCTGGAAAAGGCCAAAAAAGTAAGAGCCTCAAACTGTCGGGGGTCTCGCTCCAAGAACTCACACTACACCTTTATGCAAGCCTTTTTTCAAACATGTTGTGATACATGATGTCAGTCAATACAGATATTTTTAAAAATATATTTAATAGAATTGTGTAAACATATTTAATATTGACACTGAAAATCCAATTAGTTTTTTTTACATTCTCATTATTATTTGTTATGAGATGTTCTGTAACTTTTTAAGCCCCAACTAAATTGCAAATGGGACAAAAAGTTGCACAAAATCCTTTCAAACCACCAAAAGTTTAATTCATTTTTGAGATTTGAGATTTTATAAAATTTAGCAAACACCGAAAATTAATTACATATTGTGGATAATTTGCATGAAAAGGAGCACATACATCAAAATGAAAATTTTCAGTGGTGCAGTCAAAGTTCTAAGTATCCCAGAAAGTCACACTTTATTTTTCAAAATCACGAGTGGAGCTGTGACAGACGGTGGAGACAGTATTTAGTAACTCATGTGGATTAACTCTACAATCAACATATTTGGTTAGATTCCAGGAGGAGATACAAATGCATCTGATGTGTAAAAAAAATAAATAAGAAAAAATTAAAATAAATAAATCTAAATCAAAAAGCCCAGGGCCAGTATTTTAATTGCTTGCAGACAGTTGCAGAAAGCACGTATGAATGCATGTTTGTTATATTGTTTCTTGGAGAATGCTTGGAGCACACGTGCGTAGTTGGTAGATCTCAGCATGGTGTCTTTACAGACAGGTCCATGTTGTCACAGTTAATTGGAGAGGACACAGAGTGCTCCTTTTACCCTGTAATGATAAAATTTACACCCCCAAAAAGACCCTCCACACACTTGGAAAGTATAAAACTGCCATAAGAGTACACAGACCGCACTCCCGGAGTTTGTCTGGTATTTCGTTTCACTTTGGTGTTTGTTTGGTGCTGCAGTGACTGCAGATTTTTAAAAGTGACTCGCCGTTTTTGCAGGTCGTCGCCTGCGAGTTGGACTGCAGATTGGTGGCTGAACTTCAGAAGAGAGTACAGTGCACGTGAGTGAACAAAGCAGCGCTGCTCTTACATATACTGTGCTTCAAAGTCGTATTTGAATATAAAGTGATCTAATAAAATCATTGTTTTCTCCATCAGACCCTTACAAGCCAAGCTTCAGATATTAATTGGAGATGTGCTAAAAACAGATCTGCCTTTCTTTGACGTCTGTGTGGCTAACTTACCTTACCAGGTACAGACGTGTTTCTGCCAAATCCACACACTTTCAGTGTCTTGCATTGCACTTGGACCAAACACAGTTTCTCTTTGTGCAGATTTCATCACCTTTTGTCTTCAAGCTCCTGCTGCACCGGCCTTTCTTCAGGTGAGACACAGCTGGAGGTCCATAGAGGAAGTTTGATCGTCTTTTCTCGTATCCCGGCTGTGTTAAGTGCCTGTTATTTATTTATTTTCCTGCAGGTGTGCAGTCTTGATGTTCCAGCGAGAGTTCGCCATGCGCCTGGTTGCCAAGCCTGGAGACAAACTGTACTGCAGACTTTCCATCAACACACAGCTTCTGGCTCGTGTAGACCATCTCATGAAGGTCAGCATCCGCTCTCTGATGGTTGTCTAATGCTAACAGCAACTCTCTAGACCATATGTGTCAGTGTTAATGTGTATTTTGTTTGTTTTTTAATGTTATCAGGTAGGGAAGAATAATTTCCGCCCCCCTCCGAAAGTGGAGTCGAGTGTCGTCAGGATAGAACCCAAAAATCCTCCTCCTCCAGTGAACTTCCAGGTGAGCTTTGATTGTTAACGAATCCTGCTGTGGAGGAGTATTCATTAAAAATATAAGTTAGACTGAAGGTGTATGTTGTTTTTATTCTGAGTAGGAGTGGGACGGCCTTGTCAGAATAGCCTTTGTAAGGAAAAACAAAACTCTCAACGCAGCTTTTAAGTGAGTAGCTCTCAAACTGTTCACTCAAAAGTGGGTGTGGTCAAGAGCAGATGGTCATGTGATCTTGTATTCTGTAGGTCCGCTGCAGTGGAGCAGATGCTGGAGAAGAACTACAGAATTCACTGTTCTCTTCACAATACGGTGAGTCAAGTTTTTAAACAAACAACTCCTCAGCCCTCTTTAAAGATCTCGCCCGCTCCCTGTTGGCTGCTTTTAATCAGGAATCTTTTTGTGTATCTTCACAGGAAGTCCCAGCTGACTTCAGCATTAGCAAAAAAATCGAGAGTGTCCTTCAGGAGGCAGATTTCAGTGAGAAGAGAGCCAGGTCGATGGACATTGATGACTTCATGGTGTAAGCTGACATTCTCCACCTTGAAACGCCACAGCCTGTAGCTTTTAGTGTGGTTTCCCTACAGTTCCTTTGTAATTACATTGTAAAAAATGCCTCTTTTCCACTATTACCTACTCGACTCTATTCTCTTGCATTACGATTGAGCACCTCTAGTATGGTTGGCTCAAGAGTCCTGTGATGTAATTTGTATGTGACACAAACGCAACAGCCGAGCATATCAAAGCGATGGCATTACCTGCTCAATCCGGGGCTTTTTTTCAGACTTGGGGTAAAGATAAGAGCCAGAAAGAGTCACTCCCTGACCAATCAGTGGCATGCAGTCTATTGATGTCCCATTTTCAGCTCGACTCTACTCGCTTTGAACCCCAATGAAGAGTTTTGTTGTTGTTGTTGTTGTTTTTTTAAAGTAATCCGTACCAGGTTTTACCAACTAATGGAAAACTCAAAAAATTCAGATTAGAACTTGGCATGTAACATATGTCCACGCTGCACACGAATGTGACCTGCGTGTGGATGACAGGAGTCTATTGTACATTATAAACGGCAGGCTGCATGTGGTTGTTAAAGGCTTCACTGTTCTAATGTGTTCAATCTTCTTTTCTTCATCATCCTCAGACTCCTGCATGCGTTCAACTCTGCAGGAATCCACTTCTCCTAACTCTGATGAGAAGATCTTCACATCTTTTAAAATTGTCACGCAAGGGAGAATTTTGTGGTCAGATCAGGGAAGAACAAACGCCTGTCTTGTTCAGCCCCTGGAGCCATGTTTGACGGAACTGAAATTTAAGATATTGAAATGGTTGAATGAAATATACAAATAATATCAGATGCATTTAAAGTGCTCATATTGAGTGCTATTTTACATTTGTGAAAATATGACCTGTAAAAACTTTGAGCACAGATACTTTAAAGCCTCTTACTGGTCTGAGTTTGTTCTTTGTCCAAAAAGTTTAGAAAACCAGACGCTTTCTAAACAACACAGATTTTTCTCCTCATGAAAAGTGTAGACATGTTACATTGTTTTTTATGTAACTCTCAATAATGCAGAGTTACTCCTGCATAATAGGTGCCCTTTAACAAGAATCAATATTCCCCGTCGCACTACATAAACAATTTGATTGCTTTCATTAGAGTCTTGCTTTATGCTTTTGTCCTGACTTTTTTTCTGTTTTTGAACGTCTGTACCAGAAAATAAATCTTTTAATGGTATGACTGCCGTGAATATAACTACATGTAAAGAAACTAGAAATATTAAAACATAGTCTGGATAAGCTCAGAACAAGGATAATCAATTAATGAGTTACTAAAGAACAGACTGAGGGGTATAAAAACGAAATAAATGTTATGAAAGAAAATAGTGACCATTTGTTTTCTAACAATACACGTCTACTGGTCACGGAAACACCGAAGAAACATGGATACAGAAAGAACACGTGTGGAAATTGTAGTTACTCACTCTGGCCGCTGGAGGGCAGTGAATAGCAATTAATGTCTTGGTCATGTTAAGGTGGAAACATTGGCTACTGATGCTGAGATGACTTTCAAAATAAAATAAGTTTGCCGAACTTGCCATTTGAGTACAATAATACACTGGAGGCTGTTACTGTTGTAAGTTAATATTTTCTTTTTTAATATAGAATAAAACATTTTAAGTACTGCACACGTTGTACTACAAAGGACCCTGAATATTCTATACCACGAAAGTGGTTCACTTATCAGGGTAAATCACTGGTGACTAGGGATGGGTATTGATAAGATTTTCACGATTC